ATTGTAAATTCTGTTTTAACAAATCCCGTCGCAGAATTTTACAGTGTTCGAGGAAGCACGTAGCACGAAATATGTTTATATAAATATTTAACAATCTAAGATGTATAATCAATTCAAGATTGATCATACATAATTGGTATTAATCATTAGCAGTATGAAAATAAAATTGAATATACAAAACATAATTTTTTAATGATGAAATTCAGCAGTTTAGCTTTTTATGTTTAATTAATTTATATTGATACTAAATTTAATAAAACTGCTGCTAAATTATATAATAAATGTTAAATAATTTGCAAATTCGCGAATCTTAAATTACCATGAAGTTCTACATCACATCGGAAAACATACTTGTAATTTAAGTAAATAAATAGAATTTTTACTAATATATACGAATATAACTCAGAGTTTATGTCGTGTTTTGAAAAGAAAACATGATCATAGATAAATAAGTAAAAATTATGATATCCAAAATTGATAAAAGCGAAAAGTAAAAAATTTAAAAATAAACCTCAAATTAAAATGAGTGTGTGTGTAAGATACAGAGATGGTTTCGATAGTGTTTAGTTAAAAACACATAAAAGGTTTTATTCTAAATAAGAATATGGCGTAACAACAGCAGTAGACCGACAAATTTTACGAGGAATGAAATAGTAGATCGTATTTAGTTGCGTTGACGGATTTGGCGTCGGAAGTGGATGCGGTTTGAGACTTCGCCGAAGAAAGTTCACTTTGAGAATTAAGATGATGCTTCGTTTATTTTCTTTACAAACACATAACTACAACATATGTACCTTCTCACAAAGAAATTTCGTAAGAGTTATATATATAATTATAGTTGTATACAACGATACAAAATGTAAATTTTCTCCTTTAAAAAATACTTCCAGAAAAAAGCTCGATGCATGTAACATTGTGAATTATTTCAAAATTAAGTATTCTAAACCATCTTAAACTATGGGTCGCGTAGAAAATTTATAGGGTCGCGAAAAATTTTTATGTCAAAAACATATATCGTCACGTCTAGATTTTTGTATTGTTTACAGCAAATTCTAAAACTATATACTGACATATGTATATATGTATGTTGTTCCTTAATAAATAAAACATCTAAAGATAATAATTTCTTTTCTTTTATATTTGTGTGGGGTCGTCAACAAACTCCTATCATAATAAGTGGGGCCGCGAATGACAAAAGTTTAAGAATCCCTGTTTTAAACCAATATCATTGAAATAATATTGTGTTAAGCAATTACTAAAAAAAACTATTTTTTAAACTTTTGAAACCTAAATTTTTGTTTTAAATGAAATAAAATAAATATAATTAGAGTAACTTTATTGAAATAAATGGGATAACTATATGGTTTTAAAACAAAAATTCAGATTTCAAAATTAAAAAAAAAAGTTTTTTATTTGTGGCCATCAAACCGCTATATTTGCACTTAATTGTTCATATTAACACGGAAATATATTATAAAAGGCAATAGTAATTAGAAATTCACTTACTTGTCGGAGTGAATCTTGCAGATAATTACTTTTGAACTCTAATAATAGGTTTTAGCACTTTGCACCTTGTAAATCCAAATCAGCCGACCAGCTTTTACCTATGAACAAATAAACAAATATTTTAACAAATCGCAGATTATTAATACCATCGAAATCAATGTTTAGAATCTAACATACACATGTACAAATGCATGCATCTATTTTTCCAAATTGAAAAGTATGTCGAAATAAAATATAAGAAGTAATATTCGATTTTAATTGCGATTGGTGATGTGGTGCTAGTGTACTTCCACAATAATACATGTCATGATAACACTAATTCAAAACAGAGGCAAATGGGGCAGTGTATGCATCTATTGTGCATTGAAACATTGTCTTAATTTAGAAGAATGTTTTTGTTTTGATGGACCTCAGTGATTCGTACCATATATGTGCACATTGTATGATTTGATTTGATCACAATACGAAGCTGATTTAGATTTTCAGGGACTCGTGGTGACCTACAGTCTCGGGCATGGGTTGTTGGCCATGAACCCATTGCCCCTTTCTCTGTTCGTGCCTCATACCGAATAACATTGCCAGATATGGAATATCATATACAATCATGAGACATTGTTATAGAAATTATTATTTGCACATTCATTGCACAAGCACTAAATTTCGAGTTGGTGATTTTTATCGCTATTTGCAACTATGTTTCTTTAGCCAATGAACAGAATTAGAACAATATTGTGTTCATCTCATATCACAGAATTTTAAACTTAAGTTTTCAAGTATTTATTAATTAGGTCATAAAAATTATATCAGTATCTAATCATCGAATTAAGTTATAGTGATTTTTTTCGAAAGTACGGCAGGCTTTAATGAGTGATGTTCAAACAGAAGTAAAATATCAATTTCTTGTTTGAATTACAAGTATCGGACAAATTTGAATATAAATTATAAATATTGATTTAATAGAAGCTAAACGTCTTTTGGGTGTAAAAATGTGCATTCTGAATAAGTGGACAATTCTCCTTAAAGCAATAATTGAATATGCAAACAAATCTAAAATCAATTATTATATTTTTGATAACTTAAGATCTTTTAATCATCTTGGCATATCTTGGGTAGCATAACTTGTGTAGTACATATGTATGTATGCATATTTGAATATAAATTTAGTTCTTGAAATATTTGTTTACTATATAAGAAGTTTAAAAAAATTGCCTAAACGACCAACTTTTTTGTATTTGTCATACAGGAGAGGTTGATAAAGCTGGCGGGAATGCATTAACAAAACAGTGTTTCTGACAAATACATTTTATAAAAAACTTATATAATCTAATAATTAAACGTGCGGGATACCAAATGGTGATCAATTATTTCATCGATTAAAATGGCGCACATTTTACTCTAAACGATTCCATTTGATCTATTATTGCACGGAACCACCGCAGAAAATTACAAATATACTATCATGTTATTACTATTACTAAATTGATGTCAGAACACATGTCACAGTAAAAGAGCAACAAAGAAAACATAACAAGAACTATCGAAATACTTATAACATGTCTGCCTGACATGAATCATTTTGACACCGAACACAATTAACCTTGCCGATAAAAAACGCTCAATATAACACAATAAAAAAAATATGTTAAACACAATAATATTCAAATCATAGGTTATTAATCGTATTATTAAATTGTAATACTTTTTGAACATGTTCAATTAATGAAGATTAATTTCGAATTACTTAACCTTTTGGATTCAGAAGATGACGCGGTCTTTTTTCTGTGAAATATTTCTATACAAAAGCATCTTCTCTATACTTCGTAATATCAATGATTGATAACTTTTCTTATATACATACACATACACGCACACTATTTATTTTACATGAATCATATATATATATATATATATATATATATATATATAATATTATATTAAGTATTATTAAATATTTACAAACCATGTATACACCATGTACCACTTCAGTTTATTGCGAAATTTTTAATGGACTTTTCTCAATTGTACTAAATTGGAACTTTAATTCATATGCATAGATTAAAATGTGAAACATCATAATATGAATGCGATTTTGTTTTTCCATGCACCAACGATCATATGCAAGTGGTGACAATAGATGATCGGTCATATTAAATTCTTTTAATTCTGTATTATATCCTGATACTAGGTTTGTACAATGACTATGTAAAGTAATATAAAATATTTAACTATCAATTACAAATTTATTACAAGATATTTTAAATAAAAAAATATTTACTGCTTATAATATAAACGTCAATTGCTTTGTACCATAAAACCTATTCAATTGCTTAATACATTGTCAATCGTAAACAATCAATCTAGAATAGAAACTGATCCGTAAATATCCTACAAGGTTTTGATATTAACTTACTTATTAAATTGTTTACAAAAGACTATAAGCGTAACTTTTAAATTGTGATATACGACTTTGTATTAACATACGTGTTGGTATTATGTACATTTATTGCTTATTATGAATATAAATAGAAACAATGTAATTCTCAATATAATATTTAAATATTATTGATAAGGTTTATATGTTTTGATTTAACTATATATAATTATACGTAGGCTTCATAGATGGCTAGCCGACCATTTGTACTATCTTTGCAATTATTGAAATTTCTGTAGTAATGATGATTTTTTTATTGAAACGGTAATGCGAAATAAGTGCTATTTTCACTTGGAAACATATTGCTGTCTATTTTTTTAAGTAAAAATCGATGACACAAGTGTTTGACATCAAGGTGACCGAGGAGGGTATCGTCTCTGGGACTTCTGATTCCTATAGCTCTAACCACTAATCTATGGGAAAGCCGATATATATATATATATATATATATATATATATATATTTATATATATATTAGGGCGGGTCGATTTAAAAGTCGCTTAGGCACATATAATTTTCGGATAATAGGAATCAAAATAAGATACTTTGCTGAAGAAACCATACCTCTGAAATGAATTCTGATGTCCCGTCCATTGACCAAAAGATAGGGATTATATTTTGAAAAATTCCGTTTTAATCCATTTAGAGTGCTGCAGTCGCGTCCAAATGTATAACAAACCCCAACTAACTTTGGAAGGCCGATCCACCCAGACCTATGGTTCACCCTCTGGGACTTCCCTTTAGAGGTCTCTCATACAAATATTGCAAAAAATCATGGTTTTTGGTATTTTACTCAGCAAAAAATATTTTTTTTAAACAATTGTTTTAGATATTAATTCAAACACACACAAAAAACATTTTTACAAAAAAATATTAAAATTCTTCTTTGTTTCAATTTTCCAATACATTTTGTCTCTGCGCTTCTATGCTAGCTAGAGGCTGTTTCGGCGACGATATTAGAGAGCCGTGCCGACTTGAAACTAAAAAAGACTTCAAACAATAGTTTACGAGTTTTACATATCTTATGAATAAATAAATTTTATACCATGTTGAAGTACCCAAAATGAAGGGACCACCTTCTAAAGGGAGGTCCCAGGGAGTGAACCATGGGCATGGGTTGGTCGACCTTTCAAAGTTACTGGGGGTCAATCATTAATTTGGACATTATTGAGGCGCTTTAAATGAGCCAAAACAGGATTTTTTATCCAATCTTTGGGTTAATGCATGGAACATCAGAATTCATTTTAGAGATATTGTTTCTTCGGGAAAGTATCTTATTTTGATCCCTAGTATACGAAAATCATGTGTCTATGTGACTTTTTACCCATACAAATCGACCCGCCCTCATATATATATATATATATATATATATATATATATACATTCATAACAATTGCGAATAATTAATTGATTTTGTGTGGCTTCAACTTTTTACCAATCGCGAATTGATATGTTTTCAACTTTAGATGTAGTTATTATTTAACAATTATTGTATGTAACTTATATTTATGTTCTTAAAGTTAGACATACATATATTCATCATAAACGCAAGACGAGAAGTTTCAGACCGTTTAGCTAAAAAAAGTTTTACTGGTTACGGATATAGTAAATCATTCGTAAAATAATTGGGTTTAATTACGTTTTATAAATACTGCTGCATTATTTTCCTGTGTATCATGCTTACATGTTATGATTATGTTGTCGCGTGCTAAGCGATTGGTGATTATTTGCCGAGATAACAATGGCAATAAATTAATAGTGATCAGCTGTACGGCACGTCACCCACGAGGAATGATTGTGACGTGCACGCAAATTGTTCAATCATTTAAAGTTCATCGAGCAAATTCGTGAGAAGAAACACCCATTCAACGCGCGGACGCCGAGCTTGTTTTTTTCTCTTCTTTCAAAAAAAACTCATCAACAAACCATCAGAAACAGTAATAATTCTGTTTTTCGTTTTGACGATAAAACGTTTTATAGCGAAACCAGAAAGGCAACGTACGGAATGTTTACGGATTATTTACGCATATTTGTTTGATACATAACCAAATATTTCTTAATGACTGATGAGACAATACATTTTAAACAATATTCATGCATGTGCTTTGGATTTGATCAAATAAATTAAATTGGTCTCATAATAACAGTAAGGGACAAATCTCAATTACATAAATTATTTATTAACGGTATATTATTGGCGTGAGTTTAGGTTTGCCAAATAAAGATAGCTTACAGTAGCGTGTTGAAAAAGAAACTTAATATAATATTACCAGATTTTTTAGTGTTCTATGGTGTAATGGTTAAAAGCTCACGGACTCGTGTTGTCGGGGTCGTGAGCTCAAACCCCGCTCTGAACAACTTGATACCGTGTAGTAATAGCGATATGTATTTTCACTTGAAAATACAAATGAGAAATTTATTTCCAAATTCAAATGAAAATGAAGTGGGCCTTCGAGTTCTGCGGTGTGAAATGGCAATAGGAAATCTCTCACACTATTCTTTCCTGAATCAAGTTGGAGTTTAACGCGGCTCACGTACCTACCCTTGGGCAGTACTATCCACTATTTATTTATTATCAGGTTTAACTTCAGATTACCACAATCGCAATTATTCTTTCTTTCACAAATTATAATAATAAAATGCCCTTTTTGGCATACGACGTTGGAGTTAACACACACAATAATAAAGAATGAAAATTTAATAGTAATATCCAGGGGCGTAACTACCGCCGTATCAGCCGTATCAAAAATACGGGGCCCCCGAGCCAGCGGGAGCCCCCAACGTTCGTAAGCAATAGAAAATAATATAAAAGGTGTTTCACCAAAAAGTTAATTAATCGCGAAAACTTTGTTCAATCAAAATTAATGTCATTAAAGAAGGACGCGAGAAATGTAAAATTATTATATTATTTCAAAGTGTTTTAGTTTTTCTGCCACGGGGCACGGGGACTCCAAACATGCGCAAAAGTTAGTAGAATCTTACGAATTTTTATTTTATTTCACAAATAACAAAAGTCAAAATAATCATGAAAAGTCATTTAGAAAAACACCTGTCTCCATGAAACTTTCGTCTAAATACAGTAAGATAATCTCTGTTAATTTTTATAACCAATTGTAAACTCACTAAAAATATTTCTAAAATATGAAATTAAATATTTATTTATATAGCTGACAGAATTCAATAGTTTTGCATACAATTTTCCCGAAGTAATTTTTGCATACTTACCCAGTTGCAACCGCAAAGAGGCTGAAAAATGTTTTCAAATATAAAACTGATAAAAAATTAGCTAATCAGGTGTAAGCCTTAGGAAACTCTGTACATCCCGATATGTGTGAATAGTCAACCCAATTAATAAGAATTCAGATTTATTCCAAATTTTTATGAATTTTTAAAATTAATGTCTTATCACAAGCTCATAATATTTTAGTATCTATGATAGTAAGGATCATGTAAAGATTTATCAAAATCGTCAATTTAATTTCAACAACTACTTAATTGCTAAAAAACTATTCGAGCGATATATTCCAAACGGTTGGTTTATGATTTTGAAATGAGGACGACTCTTCTCCTAATTTCAAGGAATCGGCTCGGCCTGTCGTTGTAAAAAACTATTTTCTGGCAAAAATATTAACTTTTCCTTCGAGAAGTTAAATACTTCGACGATACAGGAATAGCATTAGATCATTATTGTTTATAGAAACAGAAAATTTATCAAACACAATAACCATCATAAGCTATAAATGATTTAATAAATGTGTATATGTATTGAATTTGAATTGTATGTAGAAATTTCGGATGAATATTGATGATAAGTGAAGATTTTTGTGGGAAAATTCTGGCATACCCGAGGGGGCCCACAAAAAAATTTTGATACGGGGCCCCGCCAATGCACACTACGCTCCTGGTAATATCTAACTTAAATTATTATTTAACTCGTCAATTTGAAAATAAACATATTTTTAATCGCGCAAAATCTATAGGTATATGCAAGGGGTGAAGAATTTAATGCAGAAAGTATACCAAATTTAAGATGTTTATATAAAATATAATTACCATATACATATTAGCCATATACATATTAGCTGTTAGTGAATATTAGTCGTTGGGTGAATGCACTGATATTCAAATAATTATTTGCTAATAATTATTTAAGATGCAAAAAAGCGTCAATTGAATTGATATAGGTTGTCAAATATCTCCCTTCCGCTTTTTTGCTCTTGGTTTATAATACAAAAAGGCGGAAGGGAGATATTTGACAACCTAATTTTACGAAAGCAAATAAATTATTGATTCCTATTAAAACTTAAAATATTTTATTCTCAGATATACGCCGAAACCCACAATGGCCACCGGGGCGAATCATACCCAGGCGCGCACCACCTTGGCCTGGACGATTTGGACGGGGATCTGGACGAGGATGATGAGGACGATGACGAAGAAGGTGACGAAGAACTCGCCGCAAGTGGAGACGACGACTACGACATCTCGTACGATAGCGCGGAACCGCTATCCGGCAGTGATGCGAATCTGAGGCATGACATATTGACCCCTCACGCGGAAAAGACGAGCCTCGACGAGTTGCCGGCGTCGCCACTAGATGACAAGAGAAGTTTCAACGAGGCACCCGAAGAACTATTGGACGTTGGCGAGTACAGGTAAGGGCTCTTATCTTTTATTCGAGGGTAGGGAGAATGACGTGATCACGTTTCACATATCAATACTAGTGCAGAGATATCTCTGTAGCGTTTTCACAAACGAAAACTTTGTAAAAGAAAGAATATTACACAATTACAATATATTAATTATAATAATTCAATCTCTCCCGTCAAATGATCCGTTTCTAGGTTTTCGTTTTACTATAAACCGAATTCAAATATTTGTAAAACATGGAGATCTATCAAGTGTAAGCAGATGAAATGCATTTGCTCATCAACCACAAAATGACATTAGACGCAATAGGGCGGAAAATTTATAAAAAATACGTTAACATTAACCATTCGTCGGTCGGATATTTTTTCACCTTCGAACGGTCGGAAAGGTCTGGCTGGACCACCATTCATTTTACATGCATTATATGGGATAAATGAGTTTTTGGTGTCTTATATATTAACAATTATTAGTATTAAATATTTATAGTTTTGATTTTTTCTTTTTCTTACCGTCTTTTGCATGTGTTGAGCTTGCTTATAATAAAAATATTACATATTATATTATATAAAAAAATCAAAAAATATAAAAAAATCGTTGCTTTTTTTGTTAATTTTTCTGTTTTATATCAATGAAAAACAATATTTTTTTTTCGGCGCCTTTGCAATGAATGTGAAATTCAAATGAAAACGAAATGAGGTGCATCGCCTTTGAAATGAGCTGTAAAACTGAAAGTGAAAATATAATTTCACTACAGGTTTGCCAAAAAAAATTTCGAACGCAGTACGGGTAGAAAAATTGTTGATAATGTGTGTATTACTATCATCCGATTTTCAGTGTTTGCGATTACCAATAAGTTTGGTAGGTTTTCGTCATAAAAATACTAACATTCATGTTACAACACATAGCAAAAAATATATACAACCATAGATAAACAAGTATACAACGCAGTTTGAATAGAAAATACCATGAAAAAAGACAAAATACTGGTTTACATATATCAAAAAGCGTATATTTCATACAAAATGTATGGGTGATCTGGACAGACCTTTCCGACCGTTCAAGTATAAAAAAGTTAATATGCTTATAATTATCCTTTTGTACATTTTTTCGTCCTGATTTTTTCAATGATCGACAGCTAACGAAAATTTAGGAAAAGTCAAAAAATTTCAAGTCGATAGGATTACTAGAAGTATTTTTTTTTTAATTGAAGTCGAAAAAAGTCTGGCCAGACCACGCCGACCGACGGAGGGTTAATGAAAATTATAAATAATAAACTATTAATTTAATTTAATACCAATAGTAATTATGTAATATACTCAATAGACAAGGCAAATACTGACTTATACTAGTGCTTGGCGGATCTTCATTCAAAATTAGGCAAGAATAACCCTAAGCAAATATAGGACAAATATTTTAAATATTTAACCCTTTTTCTACACGTGCCGTCCATGGACCACATCCGTACGACGTGCTGTGTGTACAGGTGTCGTTCATGGACTACATGTTATGTTTGCCTTTGCTTCAAGATTTATCACTATAAGTTAAAGTATTCAGAATTCTAGTCATTTATTGTAATTTTTAGTTTATTAGTAGCCTAATTTTTAATTTTCCAACACATGTTTATTGATAATAAGAGAAGTATCTTTAAATATATCGTTGTGGTCTGTTCAATAGCGCTACTAATGGACACGCTGATCCGTATCAGCAACGACACTCCTGTGGACAACACTATCGTAGCAAAAGGGTTAAATATAAATAAAATTGGAATTCCTATTCTAAAGCTTAGTGAACATTGAAATATATTGAAAAATGGTCTGACGAAAAATCAGTTGCCAATGGTAATTTTTATGGAAAATTTTGAAACTATAGATTTTGATGAATAAAAATGCAAATAGCAACCCTTGAAAATTCCACTATGTATGGGCCTCATTATGCTTAAACTGCCATGCTTTACAGACGGCGTGCAAAAGAAGCAGATAAAGGCAACCGCGATAAACGCGAAATAGCTGGTGCCACAAGACAAGGTGTGCCGATCTTAGCGGAATCTTACGCCCACCGCAGAAATCAAACTGATGGCGATGAGAGTGCTTACAGACTGCACGAATCGCTTGTTAAGTACGCGCGACATGAAGGACCTATGCTGCAGGGGCGCGGGTGGAACAAAGATGATGAATTTAGGTACCATTCGGGAAATAACAATTGCTTGACTTAGTTATAAAAACGTGCAATCTAAAAATAATTAGTTTTCATTGAACATTAGGCCTGCAAGTATGGATAAAATATTTTTTTATTAAACAATCTAATAATACTAATTCTTCAATAGCATCATATATTAACATATAACATCATATATATGATATATGTGCATTATATGCACATATTCGAGTCGAAATTGCTGTTAGTCTCACGTTTAATTTGATGCATCCTGAATATGTCTAGAACAGGGCAATTGCATTTAAGGGGCACAACTAGTGTGAAATTTCGAAAAAATCGATTTTTGTTTTTTTTCATATTTCGGTAGATTACACCTTTAAAAATAATATATAAAAATTTCAAATCGATATCTCAAATAGTTTTTGAGTTACAGCCATTTAAAAAGTATATAGTACAACGATCATTTTATCTTTAAACGCGTTTTTCTCGAAACGACATTTTCCGAATTTGCTGCAATTACTCAAAAACTAATGATCCGATCACTATCAATTTTTTTTTACATGTTTTTATATAGTTCTTCTTAAAATGAACTATCGATTTTTTGATCGGATCAAAAATCGAATTTTGGCAGTCGAAAAACGACCAAAATTTTGCGTAAAATTCGACTATTTTTTAAAAAACGCCGCCATTTTGTCAATTTTTGATTTATTTTTTTTCATCGTAGTTCATTTTACAGACAATATTATCTAGTTTAACGAGAATTTTTTTTTATTTCATCCACGTAGAAGGCTGGAATCACTGCAGCAGTTAAGGGCCTTTTTTTTGTCGCGCCGTTGGAGATCGACGATAACTTAAAAAATATTTACTATGTATTCTTAAAACGTGTATAAATATATTCCTGAAATTTTGAAATGATTGATAAAGTAGTTTTTTTAATATAAAAACCCAAAAATCACCATTTTTTAGGCGGTTACACTAGTTGTACCCATTAAAGCAACAAATATTTCTATATAACTTTTAATCATGCAATACACAAATGAATAAATTATCTCTGCACAACTAAAAGGACAATAACTTTCATAATTACTATTTTGTAATAAAAATAGTGTATTATGTTATTCATAAATATCCTTGAAATTTTGTTCTCAATACTTTTATTAATAAAAATCTTTACGTTTTTCTTATAATTTACTTATAATAATTTGGTATTACAAATAATTTAAAATAACGCAATTTTTTCCTAATCACAAATTATATAGCAAATATCACGCATGGCGGTATAAATCTTCGGCTTCATGTCGGAAAATATCGAAACTATTTAATACTTTTATTTGTTTATTAGACACAACCCAGCCGTGCACGGTCGGAAACGCGTGCCATCCAACATGGACTACGCGACACTGGAACGTGAAATGCCTCCCTGGTTCCCACTACTACAGTTGCACCACGTACCATGCCAACATCCAAAGTCTTCGTTCGCAAATCGAGAGTCATGAATACTGGTGAAGACAAGAGCAAGGCATACAGAAGGGTTGTTAAAAAATCGAGTTTGCTTGCCAACGAAAAGGATATGCGCAACTATCAGGTTGTATGATTTACTTATAATATATGTGTTTTCAATCCTTTAATATACTGTAACTTTTATTTTATTTTAACATATAAGGGATCGTTCAAGTATTACGTAAGCAGATTTATTACAATTATTTACCCCCCCCCACCATCCCCTTGTCAGAAAAGGTAAGCAAAGCTCTTACCCCCTCCCCCACGCTTACGTAAACATTTTGCAATTAATGTAGAAAAAACAAAATACTACCTATGACGTAATCATCATCCAGACTCCCCTGCCCCTGTCAACTCAAAATAAGCAAATCAACAACCCCCCCGCCCCCCTATAGTACTTACGTAATACTTGAACGGCCCCTAAACCGGGTGGCAACCTATAGTTATGGAAGTGCGGGACGCACGTACGAGGAAGGGGTTTTTATGCTAAAAAACTTGAATACGATTTAAAATACTAAAGACTATTTGAGGATAATAAAAAATCATGATATTTAAGCCTTGTTTAAAATTTTGTTCAATTTTCTGCATAACTACTTTTGCCAGGCAATCAAAAAATTCGTTTCAATTAGTGCTAATTGTCGTAAAATTGAAAGTAAAAGTTCAAAATTACAAATTTGAGAAGCTATTTTAACTTGCTTTTGAAAATTTTCATTCGCTAATTTTCTCATTCCTAACGTACTGTTTAATACAAATATACTCATTTTATATATCATTTTTAAATATTTGATGGGTAGTTGTAATTTTATCATCAAGTCATTGCGAAGATTCCATTTAAACCTATACTTTTAGAAAACTCCGGACTATCGGTTTTTTTTTAATCCGGGACAAATATTGCTTTGTTATTAATCATAATGTAATGAATCAGACTGCTATTTACGGGATGAATAAGTTAAGGCTAATGAGTTAAATATTAGGTTGTCAATATCTCCCTTCCGCCTTTTGTATTATAAACCAAGAGCAAAAAAGCGGAAGGGAGATATTTGACAACCTAATATAACATTTTAATAACTTTTATGTTGAGACGGACGGTAATGCGCCTGAAATTTTTGAACTTTTTCCGCGGGCCCGGTGTTATATTTCAGTGATACATAAAAGAAAGATGTTTTATTTCAGTCTTATCAACCGATTAGTTCCAGATCCTTAATTAGTCCTGATGCTTATAATCGTTCCACTTGAGGCACAAGTTTGCATCTTTACTAGTGGCTATGAGTATGTTCTATCGATTGTTTAACTTTAGAACTCATGTCTAGTGCATAGCTATGAGATAATGAGTGCATGGTTCATAAGATATAGTTTTGTAGACATAAACGAACATTGCCCTATATTCATTCCAATACAATATAATTGAATACGAAAAGATATAAGTTATTATTATTTTGAATTGCGCACTATCTGAAGTTAATATTAAGAGCTAAAACTTTCAGAGAAATGTTTTTTTATCAATTTGAACCATTTGAGCCATTGAGAGCAAGGAAATTCGAAAATATTGATATTAAGGACCACCCTATA